TAAGCAAATTTACATCAAGTATTATGGATTAGGAAAAGTCCCCCTTTCCAAGGTTATTGTTCGCTATATATATAAGGAGCGAAACCCTTCTATGCTGTAAAAACAAGTTATAGGGAATATTCGAAGGAATATTCCTAATGTCCCCTAATGGGCCTACACTATTACAAGGGTCGTATAATTTATTGTTTGCCTTACGGCCGTCCTCCGCAGGACATTGAATTACGAGGATCTCATCGTTCATCGTACTCGTCGACGGTCGTAGTTGTTCAAATTTAGACTCATACAATATTGTACATACTTGACACACTTGAAAGAAATAAGAAGGTCTCATCTCTTGCTCTCTATATTCTTGTTTCATATTGTTATTTTGATTTAGTTTCTTAACATGTTATCATCATGAATTGCTCATTTCATAATCTTCTACGTCAAGATTATGTGAATTATAAGCAGACTATGAGATCAAGTACAATAAAAAAGTTATTGGATGATAATGCAAAGATAAGTCTTTCATCCTTATAAACTCATTCACCCTTTCATATATTCGCATTAACTTTACGTGCAATATTTAGTTGAATTTTTTGAATTGTATCTAGCAGTGAAATCAAGGAACCGGGAAGGTATGTCTTTAAATTATTTGCTACATCTCTTACCGGACAAGGATTCATTGTTCTAGAAAATGATGCTACGCTACTGTGCATGGACGTTGGAGTACCCATGATCTTTTAATAAAAATGTCCATTCTATTAAATTTATTCAACATACAATTGCACAGGTACTTGTTGTTATGCATATATAATCACGAAGTGGTATTATTTTTAAAGGCTTGCTGGTAAATCTCTAGGCACTTTGGCCTATTATGCAATTAGTTGAGGATAAAATGGCGGGTTCAAGTCCCATTGCATCTTGAAAGTAAGACACTAGTTTAAGTCCTAGTGTACCATGATGATAAAACGTTGGGTTCGAGTCCCAACACATTATAACCTTACATGCCTTTATATGGGTAATGCATTGGATTTGAGTCCCAATGCACTATATTTATGATCTAATGATGACTAATGAAAATAATCTTTCATGACTGTATGAATGTACGAGGGCATGGCAAACGACGAAATAATAGTTGTCATCATTATGGTAACTATAAAATGAGAACAATAAGGGTTCTCAAAATAGTCATTCAAAATGTGAAGATAATGTTTACCATCAAATTGGTATGGAAAAATAATAAAGCATGTCGCTGATTATGATCTATTCCTTGAAGAGAATTTGAGTTGTGATAAGCATAGAGAATGCAAACCCATTCCTGAAAGTGAATGTGGCAATATGTGATAAAAGTAAGGAATAAAAACGTGCAATGCATGATTGGATCAATACCGCACAACTCACCTCTACGGGAGGTTTGAGTGAAATAAAGAGAATGAACATAATTGTGGTTATATGAATATGTCATTGGTCGCGTACATGCGGTACGCCAAAAATATTTTTCCATGCTTATAAAAAGTTATTAAAGGCAAAAGTAAAGCAAGAAATGATTTCGCTTATGATGATTTTGACCATGACAATTATTATGATATGATTTTCTCCGTGAATGAGACATTCACCATATGGATGGTGTGACAAAATATCTTGTAGTACAAAATGAATTAAGAGCTCCGGAAGAACTAATTTGTTACTATCCAGACGGATGAAATTGTTCTTGATATTGTAGTAAGTCTCAAAGGAAACTTTTGAGTTTCAAATATATTAGACAAAGTGGTTGACATATTGAGACTATAAATAAAAGTAAGATTGAATATCTTCATATTACTATAATCATACCAGGTAAATATAAAAGGTTACCCGACTTTTCTTCTAATTGTACTACAGATATATAAGCATGATGATGGAATCACACGCCATAGTAAATTAAATATTTATTGAAACAAATATTAGTTGGCATGACCGGTTGGCTATTCCGGTTCAATTATGATGCGAAAAATGATTGAAAATTCACATTGGCATATATTGAAGAATTAGGAGATTCTTCGAGAATTTTCATGTACGACTTGTTCTCATGATAAACTGATTACTATACCAACTGGGGTTGAGATTGTATTCCTTGATTTTTGGAATGTATAAAAGGTGATATATATGGGCCCAGTCACTTGCCGTGTGGACCGTTTACTAGATGCATCTATTTTATGGTTACATGTGCGTTTGTTATCAACTTGCAATTTGATTTTTGCAATGTTGTTTGCTCAAATTATTAGAGCATAATTTCAGAATATAAATTATGATAATTTATCTTGATAATGCTGGTTTAAATCCAAGTTGGTTTAGCAAAAATTATATGCCTCTAATTATAGCTAAACCATTGGTTATGAGAACAAAATTCGCAAATAGAAATTTGGTATGAGGTGTATTATTTAATATATAATAGTACTTGTACGCATCTAGCCAACAAATTATGATAAATTCTCCCCATCACAATTGGTTCAGGGTCAGGAACCAAATATTTCCATCTAAAAATATGGATGTGCTATATGATTTAATTGTCCTGCCACAATGCACAAAGATGGGTTCTTAATGAAGGTTGGAAAATGTGTTGGTGATCCCGATATTAGGGGGAGAAAATGGGCAGCTGAAAAAGTGATACGTGGAAAGAATTATTATGAATACATCTAGATCCTCGTATAAGAAAATGTAAACGTGAAGTTCAAGTGATAATTCATTTCCAAAATATTGTCAGGCACATTTGCTGACCCAAAGCTAAATGTCATATTCTAGCTGCTAATGCTCGAAATAGAATAACATCCATGATGGATAGAGTTTATGGCACGCATGAAGCGTAATAGACAAATTGGTTCCAAAGATAAAACTCCTTGAAGAAGGAGGGAACAAATGTTCAAGATGGTCATAATAAAGAGGCAAGTGCTTTATAAGAGCACCATGACATAACACTTTATAAGACCTCATGGGACCTGAAAATAATGAGATCTCGATAAGTTATGTCTTTATTGTGCGATGATGGAACCAATGTAAAATGATAGTCGACGATGTTGTTAATATAATGTAGCACTCAATATTATTAATATTGACGAGGTTCTTGAGCTCAAATCTGTCATGGATTTTGGACAGATAAATGATTGGCCAAATGAAAAATATGCAATGAAAATTAACTTCAACTGAAAAATATGAAGTTGGACGGATCGTCCCAGCAGCTGAAAGAATAAAGGCTATATGGAGATATTGAAATATGATTAATATTTTTATATTACAAAAGGAATCCTTGATATAGATTTATTTATTCTAACAAATATTATCAAGGTTTTGTTGGTTATACAAATGCAGGGCATAGTTCATTGTTCAAACAATCTATTTTCATGTGAGGGTAATGCCATATTATTATTCTACAAGGTAGTACTTGTTAATACTTATTCAAGTCATGCCAAGATAAGCAACTGATAAAGCAAGTGACTCAACACACAACAGACATGTGACTTTTCTTTGAAGAGATGATTCCAATAATATTGAAGACGATGCTGCTTGCATAGCTCAATTGAAAGAAAGATATATTGAAGGAGACAAAATAAAGCACATTTCGCCATAGTTTTTTTTAGAAACAATCTTCAATAGAAAGATGAAATAGATGTTCAAGAAATTCGTTCAAGTGTTAATTTGGCGAAATAATTATACACGCTTGGAATTCGTTGTTTCCAATAAATAAAGTGATGTTTTCATCAGGTAGAGGCACATACGTCCTGCACTTTTTTTCCTTAGCTGAGGTTTTATCCCAGTGGGTTTTCCTAGCAAGATTTTTAACGAGGCAACAAACAATGGTATTACAAGATATGTGTACTCTTTTTCCTTTACTAATTTTTTTTTCACATGGTTTTTTCTTAGTAAGGTTTTAATGAGGCTATGTACATCCAAGGGGAAGTGTTATAAATAATATCCAGTGGTGGATGTCCATAACTCCTAAAGGAGTAATACCCACTACTCTTCTCCATTATCTCCATAACTCCCACTACTCCAATACCTATGGAGTTATGGTTGTAACTCTCATACCTCCATAACCTCCCCATGATCTTCCTCCATGATCTCAAATGTTTAATGTCATATTTATGACATTCTTTTGTATACCTCTATGTAATACTATAAATAGAGGATGAGAAGTGATATTGTATATACTTGACACACTTAGAAGAAATAAGAAGCTCTTATCTCTTGTTCTCTATTTCTTGTTTCATATTGTCATTTTAATTTAGTTTCTTAACACATATGTTCATTTTGACATGTAATAATTTTTTTTTCTTCTTGTCTCTTCTTGCTTGATTTTTGGATATACCTTAACCAAACTATTAGAAAAATAAATTAACATTAGGCAATGAGATCATACCTTCTCTTTAGTCAAATGAATCTTCGAGCGTTGAACATAAATAAGCTCAAGATTCTTAGGTGAGGAAATATAGTTTTTTAGGGAAAAACAAACAAACTCAATAATTTCAGATTAAAATAAAATGCAGATCTGACTATATAAATAAATATTAGGTGATGACCCATAAATTCTTTCTTGTTACATTCTTCATAATCTTTCAAAAAATGGGCTAAATTCTTCCAAATTTAACACTTTTTTGTCTCACTTTATGATAGTACTTGAGGGGAGTCTTGGAGCAACAATTAAGTTGTTTCCGTATGACTTGTAGGTTACGGGTTCGAGGCGTGAAAGCGATCCTTCTAGTGAACGCGAAATGCTTTGTGTAACGAATTGTCTTTTTTTATTTATGATACTCTGAACTTAACTAGGCATAAAATTCAAGAAATAAGAAATTTTTATTAATTTACATAAATATTTATGTTATTATAAATTATTTCATAAAAAGTTAATTATAACTATTTTTTAACAAACTAAAGAAAAATTTATCGCATAAATTGAACGGAGACGGAGGGTACCACTTCGTCGATTTGTATAATAAAGAGATTAAGTTAATGATATCCGTATTAGCAAATGAAATAACGAACAAGACAAAGCGGCAACCAACGGACACGACAGTGACGAAAGACTCTCTCTCCTAAACCCAAAAAATTAAACAAATGAAGCAAATTCAGCTCTGCCGTCCCAGCACCAATCCTTTTATAATCACCTTCTGCTATGCTTATTATTCCTCACTCTCACTCATTAATTACTCTTTAATTACCTTTAATCGTCAAAAATCTCCCAAATGGCTTCTTCCTTTTCAATCAACTCCATAAATCCTAATACCAAATACCTCAGCCACCTTAGAAACTACTCTTTTCCGGCCTCTGTGTTAAGAAGAACTATAAATTTCCCCGTAAAAAAGAGTTGTAATTTGAGCTGTAAAAGGAGAAGTTGCAGAGTTGGGATAGTTAGGGCATCATCTTCTACTGAAGTAGTTGATGATCGTGGGAGTGCTGACGTGGAGAGGGCCCACAATGGGAAGGTTCTGAGAGTGGGCCTTATTTGTGGTGGCCCATCTGCTGAGCGTGGAATTTCTTTGAACTCTGCTCGATCAGTTCTCGATCATATTCAGGTGCAAATCCAATTTTCCCGCCAAAATTATTGTCATTAATAAAGAAATTAGATTTGTATGGTTTCTTTATCTCTTAACTAGTTAAGAACTAATTGTGGAAGTACTGTAGCTATGCTAATTTGAACATACGTTTTGGGGTTGAAATATGAAACTAGCCGTTTTTGTATTGATGAAGTGCAACTTTTGCAGAAGAGGATTAAATTTAAACTAACGAGAGCAAGATTTTTGAAAAAGAATTTCTAATAATCCTGTAGTTATACTAAATTCATGTTGTGAAAATGATGCAAGTTCAAAACTTTTTTTGTGGTTGCTTATCAATTTTTTTCTTTAAATTGATGAACTGAAGAAAACATTTACGTATGTTGATTTTTACACTGTCCTAGCCTGACCTGAAAATGTTTTAAGTCAAGCTCTTTGACAGAGTGGATGTTCTGTTTTGATGCAGCAAAAAAGAAAATTGTTGCTGTAATTGCCTATTTAAAGTTAAAACTCCTTTTGATGAAGGGTCGCGGTGAGAGTTGAAACCAAATTCTCAACCTGCTGTGATATTATGATGAAGTGTGTGACCACCTTATTTAAAAGTTTAAGTTGTTAGAGAGGAGACACAATTATTTGCTTATGATTGGTCTCTATGACGCGTCTTCACGTGCTGGCTTGACTCAGATGGATGATTTAGTTGACTAGTTGAGTGTTATTTGGCTGCCACATATTACACATTAGTGTTGAAATTGGCAAAATGTTTGTCCCACATCGGTGGGAAAACAAAAGTTGGGGGGATTTTCCCCCTATAAAAGAAGGCTTAATGTTTAGGATTTAAACACACCTCTCATTTGCCTTCTCATCTGTTTAAGGCATTTGTATCTTCTCTCTTTAGTATTATTTCACTTGTATTTTTGGAGTGAAATAAAATATTGGTTGTGTCCGAGGAGTAGGCAAAATTAGCCGAACCTCGTAAATTCTGGTGTTCCCTTTATTGTTGTTTTATTGTCTTATTTATTATTTGGTGGCTGTCATAATTTTTGGTATAGTAGTTGTGACTTATTCACACTATATACATTTGGCTTCCGCAACAATTAGAAGATGTAATCTAGTACTCCATTTCTTGCTGCTGGTTGTTGCTAAGAAATAGGAGACTATTATGTTTTACTAATGTAATGATAGTTGATTGTTCCGTGTCTATTATTTGTGTTATGGAAAAATATTTGTTCTTTCATTTTGTGATTTACGCTTTCCAGTGCTTGAGCAGGGGGGCGATTTGGATGTTAGCTGCTATTACATTGATAGCAACCTCAATGCCTATGCTATATCCACTGCGCAGGTTTGCAGATTAAACATATGCACCCTTTAACCCGTACTTTCTGTCCTTTTCGCTATAAGTTACTGTAATAATTGATCACCTATATTTAGGGGGACTTGGAAGCAGGGTAAGAAAAGTCTTCATTAGGAGCACCTTTCCACTATGAATTTATTACAGTCTGGTTGCTATTCAAAAAGATTCTGGGATTATCAAGACGTGGTTGATTGATAGGTGGAGATTCTTGTCGAAATGAATATGGGATAATCTGTCTCTACTGAGATGGATGATCTCAGAATGTGCATCAATAATTATCTTAACAAGAATTATAGGTGCCGTTTTCTTGACGAAAAAAAAGTAGGTTATAGAGCTAGAATTGAATTTACAGAAGCTATTAGTTCATTAATTATTATTATTGTTATTATTATTATTATTATTATTATTATTATTATAATATTATTGATCAGTGTGATGGTTCATTTTGTTTATGCAGTTTTATTAGTATAATAAGTTGCTTGGTAAAGAGTTCATTTTAAATTTATAAGCACTTCTGACTTATTTTTTCCTTTAGATTCTAAAATCTTCAGTAAGCCAATCGTTCCTTTTCTCCTTTTCCATTCAGTTTGATCCGATTATTGGCTCATAATCCATGAGCTTGAATTTGGATTAAACCTCAGAGGATGTTTAATTCCTGCTTTCTCATTCTGCAATGTGAATCTTGGCCATTGGCCAGACCCAATATGCATTTGGAAAGAACCAATTCTCAGACTAAGTTTAACTCATTGATAGTTTATAAGCTTGATAAAAGAAAAAACTCATTGATGCTTTATCCCTTGTGCTTCTCCTAGGCACTGGGCATCTCCTGTATCTTTTGTGGTTTTGGCTATTGATAATTTAGTTTTCTTGTTAAATTTCACATATAGGTATACTCAAACACTCCTGCAGACTTTGATTTCAAACTTGAGAGGTTAGTTGTCACAGCTGAACATCCGAGCTTGTTATAGTGTAAAATTTTCCGTGCTTGTTTTAGTTGAAATGTTCTCATATTGTATTTGCAGCCTTGCCCAAGGCTTCCGGTCATTATCTGACTTTACAGAACACCTTGCTTCTTCTGTGGACATAGTTTTTCCTGTTATACATGGTCGTTTTGGTGAAGATGGTGGCGTTCAGGTTTTTGTACTGAAACACTCAAGAACTTTCACACGTGCTGATTGCTTTCTGTTTTTCAAAGCTTAAACGAATTCCTTTTCTTATGTTTTCACATGTGTCTTGATTCATTTTTTAGGAGCTATTGGAACGATCAAATATTCCATTTGTTGGAACAGGGTCCACCCATTGTCAAAAAGCATTTGATAAAGTAAAATACCTGTCGCATCTACTTTATTTTTATTTTTTCTGATCTGGCATGGTTTTCTTATATCAGTTGAGACCAACTAGAATGTATGTATTGATTACATTATGTATGCTGTTCGTTTGAAGAATGAATCCATTAATCTCAAAACTAACTTTTTATTCGTTTAAATTGTTTGGTTGTATTTGAACTCTAGTAATTTTTAATTTGAACCACAGTCCTATTCTGAAACCTTTGATCTTCATTTTGATATTTTAGTTGATTTATGAGTGTGTTTAAGAGATATAAATTCATATTAAAGTACATCGGAACCACATGCTAATGTACTAGATTGATCATGTCAGCAAGAAATTTTTACTAGAATCGTCCATGGTCTAGCAGGCTGCTGTCCATAATGCATTATCCATCCAAACTGCTCTTTGATTAATAGATGATATTGATGCTTCTTTCAAAATTTTCAACAGTATGATGCATCGTTGGAGCTTGACAGACAAGGTTTCGTGACTGTACCTAATTTTCTCATACAGGTGTGATCTGTGTTTATTTGTGTTTCATCAAGGTCTTTTAGTTCTGCTTTTGACCTTCTGTATCATGTGCTTTCTTCTGTTTGAAGTTTCCATATGCAGGCATATATTACTACNGTTACTACTGTTAAAAATGGTCTTCCAATTTATTTGTCTTTTTTGGTCCTATTTCCCTATTCAAACTGTATCTGCTATGTTTGACATCATATTTCTTACAAAAAGGCTTGAACTTGCTTATCTTATCTAGCTGAGGAATATTCACAACTCAGCTTGTTTCCGACTCCCCCTGAACATGATTACATAATCTATCCTTATTTTATGTTGAGACTGGGTAAATCTTCCTTTTTCTTCTCTAGATTATCCAATAAAGAGAAGAAGTACCTTTTGCTTCTCTATTCATTTTGTTC